GGGCACCGGGGACCTCGAGGACCACCACCCTCCAGCCTTCCTGGAGGGGCACATGGGACCCAGCAGCCAGCTGATTGGTGAAGACGTGGTAGGTGACCCTGGGTCCCACCATGAAGTGCTTCTCCACCATCTGCAGGAACAGCTCCAGGAAGACCACGTATCCACAGGGACAGGGGACAGGGCTGGAGGAGGGTCACTGCCAGACGCTGGCGGCAGGACCCCAGAGCTCGGGGCCGTGAACATGTGCACCTTCATCATGGGGGCAGGCCCTGGGCTGCTTTAACCAACAGCCACCCTCCTGGCCTGTCCTCAATAAGTCTGCCAGTGGGGCCTCCCTACCTTCTGCTCCCAGAGATGGGAGCCATCAGTACCCCATCTTACAAAGGGAAGCCTGAGGCTTAGGAGGCTGGAAACCCATGCAGCCCCACAGTCAGCATGCTGGAACCAGGAACACGCCCCTTGTGCTGAGCTCCCGGGCCCTCTCCTGGCTGACCCCCTGCAGGTTCTGTCCCCACCTGCCATGAGTTGAGCACCTTTGGGCATAGCCCTTGCTTCTATGCCCTACAGACTGGGTAGAATCAGCAGGGCCAGCCACCTGCCCCACTTTGTTTTGAATGGGCTGTCACTGGCCCACAACAGAGTTGTCTCCGCCCCCTATAGGGTCCTCCCTTGAAGGCTACTGGGTCTCTTGCTGACAAGGTCCATCAGTACACCACTGTTATTCCTAGGAGGGGTCATCTTGAACTGCCCCAGATCAGGAATCAGGTCCAACCTGTGGGCAGAAAAGGGGAGAGAGGACCCCTGGAAGAAGAGGGGGCTTGCTTAGGCCCCAGCCTTGAATCCAAGGGAGTAATCTTCCAGGTCCAGGTCTATATCTCCCTGGCCCCAAGAAGGTGGAAGTCTTGTCCAACCCCCTCATGTGCCTGGTCCCCTTTTGAGGGGACTGACTACCTGCTCCCCACTGTGGGGACAGCAGCTCCCCCATTGTCAGCAAGTGTGGTGAGCCCCTCTGAGACTGATTTTCTTAAAAGGTTTTATTTATTTATTTGACACAGAGAGAGACAGCTAGAGAGGGAACACAAGCAGGGGGAATGGGAGAGGGAGAAGCAGGCTCCCCGCTGAGCAGGGAGCCTGACACCGGGCTTAATCCCAGGACCCTGGGATCACGACCTGAGCTGAAGGCAGATGCTTAATGACTGAGCCCCCCAGACGCCCTGAGGCTGATTTTTTTACACAGGCACTAAGGCTACTTCCCTGGTCAGCCCCATACCTGGCAGGTTAGTAAATCACTCACACAGGGAAGGTGGGCACGACATTTAAACAGGGGACAAGCACACACATCCAGCAGACAGGAGTCAAATCACCAAGAGGCAAGGAGAGGCCCAGCCAATGGGGGAACAGACCAGACATGATGCAGGGGGAGAGAAGAGTGCTCCTGGCAGAGGGCACAGACAATGTAAAGGATTGGAGTCAGGCCCAAGGCACGTATGTGACAACCCCACACCTGGGTGGCCCACAGAAGGGAGGCTGCGGTGGAAGAGGTGAGGCTGAAGAGGACGGGCAGGTGGGAAGCAAATTGCAGAGAGGCTCAAAGGTTATGTTCTGAAACGATCAATCTAGTTACTGGAGGAGAATGGGCTCTGTACAGCAGAGGACAGGGAGATCATAACCCTAACCCCTAACCCCTAACCTCTAACCCTAACCCTAGGTCAGGTTCTGAGTGATCCGTCCCCAGAGACCTGACTCCCAAGCCCCAGGGATTGGGGACACCTGAGCAATACCAGAGGACTCAGGCTGCCACCCAGAAGGAAACCATGCCATTGGGGACTCCGGAAAGTATTCAGAACCAGAGAAATCTGAAGGCCCACCTGAGCCCATCCCAATGAACCCCCACTTTCAGCAGCCCCCTGGACCCAAACCCTGAGCCTGACACTCACCTGACCCATGCCCTCAACTCAGCCCTCTGGGAAGTGCACCACACAGATGGCAGATCACACCTGCCATGCTCCTAGGCCCTAACCCTAACCAATGGTTGGGTCAAGAGGTCTGTTCCCAGGGGCCTGGCTCCAGGAGGATAGCCATCACCACAGATAACTAAATTATGATAAGACCTAGGAATGGTAGAAAGGGAGGAACCTATCAAGGTCTGTTTTCATAAAGTCTTCTGATTCTCACTGTGTCTACCAAACATTTACTCTTTTTCATTTTCCTGTGAAGTGCATCCCTTCCCTTTGATGTTCCTGACCCCTATCCCCTTGTCCTTATTTCAGGATGACATATATACCTCATTTTGCCTAAGTGTGTTTGGAGTTTCCATGTCTCTCTGGATTCCCCATATGTACAAAATTAAATTTTATTTTCTCCTGTTACTCTGTCTCATGTCAATTTGATTTTTAGTCCACCGAGAAGGACCTTGAAGGAACAGGACATTCTCACTCCTTACATATTCATAACAAACCATCACAAGGAAAAATTAAGAAAATAGTATCACTAACAATTTCATCAAAAAATAATAAAATATCTAGGAAAAAATTTAACCAAGATGTGAAAACTCTGTAACATCAAAACTGCAGGATGCTGATAAAGAAATTGAAGAAGAGACCAATAAATGGAAGGATATTTCTTACTCGTAGATCGTTAAATATTGTCAAATTGTTCATTCAACCCAAAGCAATCCACAGATTCAAGGTAATCGTGAACAAAATTCCAAAGGCATTTTTCACAAAACAATAACAATCCTGAAGTGTGTATGAAACCACAAAGGATCTTGAGTAGCCAAACCCATCCTGAGAAAGAATAAGCTTTTGCAAAGCTATGGTAAACAAAACAGTCTTGAAAGTGTCGAGATTAAAACAGGCACAAGGATGATTGTAGCAGAATGAAATAAACACAAGCACAGATGTTCAATTACTTTGTAAGGGAGCCAAGAACACCCAACACAGGGCAGTCTCCTCAATGAATACTGCTGGGGAAAATGAGCCACAAGCAATGGAACATAGTACGTTACACCATACACAAAATCCTGCGCCACACAAAAAGTAACTAAAAAGACAGATTTCCACCGCAGGCCTTTCCTCCACTGGGTCCTCTGACGACTACCCCTCCTTACTATTCACTACACACAGGAAGCCTCTGCTTTTTCCTCCCACAGCTCCAAATGTTCCTGAGGCTGAGGATTCAGCAGCACCTTCCTGGTGGGTCCTGTCCATAAGGATGCAGAACCACCTCCACAGGAGGAGAAAGCACGGATCTTTGGCATAAGCTTTGTTTGAGCCTACGAAAATACCAGGAAACCTGACTCAAATGAAGTCCCAAGGTTTGGAAGGAGCCACTCTTACGCCCTACCAACAGCAAAAGAGGTACCTCGTAGGTGGATACACTTCACTATCCCAGCAGGAGGAAAGCAAGCTTCCTCCCCGCGCACCACCCCGCCACAGCCCAGCCAATGAGAGACGGCCAGGGCCCAGCCAATGAGAGACGACCAAGGCCCAGCCAATGAGAGACGGTCAGGGCCCAGCCAATGAGAGATGGCCAAGGCCCAGCCAATGAGAAGCCACTACTTTTCCAGTTCCCCAGTTTACTCCAAAGGGCTTTCAGTTTACAACAGCCTCTCCCAACCCCACCTCCTCTGTAAAAGAGCCTCCTCGGGCGCCTGGGTGGCTCAGTTGGTTAAGCGACTGCCTTCGGCTCAGGTCACGATCCTGGAGTCCTGGGATCGAGTCCCGCATTGGGCTCCCTGCTCAGCCAGGAGTCTGCTCCTCCCTCTCCCACTCCCCCCTCTTGTGCTCTCTCACTCTCTCTCTCTCTCTCAAATAAATAAATAAATAAAATCTTTAAAAAAATAAAAATAAAAAAATAAAATAAAAGAGCCTCCTCTTGCTAGTTGTCAAGATTTACCTGTGGTTTTGCAGTAGCTGGCTTGTCCCAGTTGTAATTCTCTGCTATTCCCAAATAAACCCATCTTTGGCTGGTAAAATAAATGGCACTTTTATTTTTAAGGTTAACAGGCATGATTAATTCTAAGGAACAACAAACACAAAAGAACCTCTGAAAACTGAGTAGAAGTTGTGCTTTGGTGAGGACCATTTACATTTAAAAGGAAAATCTCCATTTATACTAGGAAGAAAGGCAGAACTCTAAATTTTTAGAAACTTCTATCCATGGGAAAGGCACCTTACAACCATACCCTGTTTACTCTGGCTGCCTGATTACTCCTGCTTCCACCAATATCTTCATCTTTAGCCCATAATGGCATGTAAGGTGGTGGCTTTAGCCATTTCAGGGAATTCCTCCGTTTCCCTGGGTTTCCCCCATGTATATAGGAGGAATCCACGTTATTAAACTTCTGTTTCTTCTCTACTTCATCTGTCCTCTATTACAGGGAGGTGTTAACAAAAGAAAATTTCAAATGAGTAAACTTAAAAATCTAATTAGCTTTATTAACTGATTCTTAACTCATGCAGCATCCAATGTAGCAAATAGAGGACAGTTCCACTGAACTAAACAAAGGAAAGCAATCTCAAAGAAGGAATAGGAAGAAAACCAAAAAATATATTGACAAATGCAGTGTTTAGGTAAGAGTGCTCTCCCAAGGGCCTGTGAGTAAATTTCCTACTCTAGACTCCAGGAAATTCCATGTTGCGTAGTTAAAGGTTACATTCCTGGGCTTACACCCGACATGTGCAGTGAGGAATATTGGCGGAGACAAGAATCAAACCCTAGATCCGTGGCGGGGCACAAGTGCACTTGCCGCAACCTCCACACGCTCAGTAAAGTGGGGGCCGTTCTTCCGGAGCAGGTCACTGACTCCTCAACCGGCCAATCGCAAGCCTGGAAGACCACATGCACCCAGCCCCCACCTCCGCTACTCGGAATATGCGGCCCCAGAGGCTTAAAGCATGCGCACTAGCGCCTCTCCACAGCCGTTGAGACCCGGTCCACCGCGCCCGGAAGCGCGGTGCGCAGGCGTGCTGCAGGAAGCCCCGCCCCGGGCGCGAGTTTCGTCCAATCCCCACGGAGGTGCTCCTCGCCGGCCGCGCGCGAGCGGAGAAAATGGCGGGGCGGTCGGGGTCTTCGGACGCCGAGGGAGCGGGAGCCACGGAGCGGGCTGAGAAGGCCGGAGGTAGTGCAGGGGTCCCCGCAGGGGCGGTTGTGGGGGGGCCGGGGCAGGCGGGACAGGGAGCGCGCTGCCCAGGGAAGGTCGGGCCGCCGGCCGCCCCCGGCCCTTTGTCCCCGGCAGCGAGACCCTTCAGGAGCTCCGCTCTCTCCATGGCGTCGATGAGCCCTCAGCCGGTGTTTCTTTTCTGAAGCCGGGCCAGACCGGCTCCGCGCAGCATCCCGCGGGTTTTCCTCTTGACGCCGACCTGCTGAGGGACGGTCCCCGGCTCAGGGGACAGGGGGACACGGTTGGGCAGCTCCGCACAGGTCCTCCGGAGTCCGAAGTCACCGCCCCACGCGGAGGGGAAGGTGGGAGGCTGTCCCCGAGCCAAGCCCTCAGCTGCAGGACCTGGCTCGTACGTGTTCCGTGGGAGCCTGACCGCCACCCCTCGGGACTCTGCTCCTGTGGGCTCATCTGTCCCCTGCTCACAGCGCCGTCAGCGGCACGGGTCTTGCTGGTTCCCTTCACACCTGCCTGCACGAGGGCAGCCTTGGGATCCGGCGCAGCTCCACAGTGTCCCTGCCGAGAAGAGCTCTGGGTCATGAGCCTTGGCTCAGAAAGTGTCCTCCAAGCAGGGCGAGGCACCCGGAGACAGCCCCGGGCTGGGGACGAATGCACACATAGGTGATAACCCCCAACTGGGCACGGATGCGCCCCCCCCCCCCGTGACAGCCCCCAACTGGGGACGGATGCACGCCCGGAGACAGCCCTGGGCTGGGGACGGATGCGCACCCCAAAGACAGTCTCGGACTGGAGACAGATGCGCATCGCGGAGACAGCCCCGGGGTGGGGACAGATGGGCACCTCGCAGACAGCCCCGGGCTGGGGACCGATGGGCACCTCGGAGACAGTCCCCGACTGGGGACGGATGGGCATCCAGGAGACAGCCCCCGACTGGGGACCGATGGGCATCCAGGAGACAGCCCCCGACTGGGGACGGATGGGCATCCAGGAGACAGCCCCCGACTGGAGACGGATGGGCATCCAGGAGACAGCCCCCGACTGGGGACCGATGCACACACATCCCTTGTATGAAACACCCCCATGGCTAAGGCTGCACCGAAGGAGCCTTTCAGTAAGGCTGTTTCGGGTGCCTCTAATCAACTAGTAGCTGAATCAGCTCCACCAGTGTCCTAGCTTGGGCTGCTCTAACGGAAACACCAGAGCCCAGATGGCCCTATAGACTACAGAATTTTCTTTCTCATGGTTCTGGAGGCTGGAAGTCTTAAGACAGAGGCACCAGCAGACACAGTGTCTAGTGAAGACCAGCTCCTGGTTTCTGGATGACCTCTTCTGGCTGTGTCCTCACAGGGAGGAAGGGGCAGGCAGTTCTGGAGGTCTCTTTTATAAAGGCACTCCATCCACCATCATGACCCAGTCACCTCCCAAAAGCCCCATCTCCTAACACGGTCACATCAGGCCATAGTATTTCTTTCTTCTTCTTCTTTTTTTAAAGATGTTATTTATTTATTTGTGAGAGACCGAGCACAAGCAGGGGGAGCGGCAGAAGCAGAGAAGCAGGCTTCCCGCTGAGCAAGGAGCCTGATGTGGGACTCGATCCCAGGACCCTGGGATCATGACCTGAGCCAAAGGCAGACACTTAACCGACTGAGCCACCCAGGCGTCCCCAGACCATACTATTTCAACACATGTACTGTGGTTACCGCCTAGGAGGGTGTCGTCCTACTTCTGCACTTCACACTAGGGTATTATGGGGTAATGAAGCATTGTCTGCAACTCATTCTCCAGGTTCAGAAATGTTAGCTAATGGGGGATAGGAACTATGTATCCTATTTACACAACTTTTTAGTAAATTTGAAATTATTTTGAAATAAAAAGTAAAACTAGGGGGCTCATACTACACAGGCTAGTTTGTGCCCTGGATTTTTTGTTACCAAGACATTAGTTGCCTCATTCAACAGATATTTATTGCCAGTCTGTGCCTTACCTTGTGGCGAGCACTAGACATACAATAGAGAATAAAAACAGTGCAGCTCACTGCCTGGTCTATTAATAGTAATACCTGAGAAAATGGTTGCCCAAACAAAATATCATTTTGGGGTCACTCAAATTTATTAATTTTAAAAAATATAACCATATGTAAAAGTGTGTATAGTGAAAAGTAGACCTCCTCTTTCTTGTCCTTCCAGTCATACCCTCCAGAGGTAACTACTTTTGATTTTTGTGTGTGTGTGTGATTCTGGCCAGAAGTTCTCTAGACTTGGTATGCATATATTTGTAGAGTGACAGGTATATATTTCACCTCTTTTTGCAGCCATATGGGATTCTCTATACACCATTTTTCACTTTCATTTATTCTGTCTAGGGTCTCTTTCCATGTCCATACATACGAATCTACCTCCTTTTCAGTGGCTACACAGTATTTTGTGGTGGAGATGAATCATAAATTCTCGACTGATGGGCATTCAAGTTGTTTCCCGCTTTTGACATAACAAATATTGCTTCAGTGTCCTTTAACATGCCTTTTGCATACTTAACCAAGTATAACTCATACATAAATTTCTAGAACTGGAATTAAGTCTTCAAAATGTTGATAGCCCTCCAAAAGGTCACATCCGTTTCCACAGTCTTATCAGTGTATATGAGTTTCCCCACATGATCTCACTGACCATTGACAGATTTATTAATCTTTACCAATCAGATAGGTACAATATGTTATTTTTAGCTCATTAATTATGACTGAGATTGTACAGCTTTTCAAATAGTGACCATTTGTATAATTTTTGCTTCACTGTTCTCTCCTTTTCTCCACTCTTCTATAGAAATGATTCTTTACCTTCTTTATATTGATTGAAACATATTATGGAAAGATCTAAGCATATACAAAAGGCGAGAACAAAATATAATTACCCCATGAGCCCATCTTTCCACTTTACCAATTATCAGCTTTTGGCCAACCTTTTTTCCTCTTTATCCTCACCCACTCCTGCCACCCATTCCACTACTTCATTTGAGGATCACAGGCATCATAGCATATCATCCATACATATTTCCATGCATATCTCTAAAAGATAACTAACCACAATAGTATTGTCATATCTGAATAACAACTACAATAATTCCTTAGTTTCATCAAATATCCAGTCAATTTTCCTGATTGTGTCAATATTTTTTAAAGTACATTTGTTTGAATCAAGATCTAAATACTGTCCATTTTTTAGATTGATTTATCGATCTCTTTAATCCCTTTTAGTCTGCAAGACTCTTCTTTTTCCTTTTTCCCCAAAATCTGTTAAAGGAACTGAGTTCCTTTAGGAATCCAGTTCCTAATCTGGATGTTGGTAATTGCATTCCCATGTGTCCTGTGTCCCTGTATTTCCTCTGAATTAGTATTTAGGTTGAGAGGATTAAAAGATACTAGTCTGATTTTTTTGGCAAGAATCCTATATTATATTTTTACCTCAAATGGCTCATAGTGTCCAGTTATCTTTATTGTGATGTTAGTACCATTGCCTAGATCTACCAGTTCATTAAGGGATTAAAAATAAGTGCCTATATCAGGGAAGTCCAAATAAAAACCTCAATGAGATACCACCTCACACCAGTCAGAATGGCTAAAATTAACAAGTCAGGAAATGACAGATGTTGGCAGGAATGCGGAGAAAGGGGAACCCTCCTACACTGTTGGTGGGAATGCAAGCTGGTGCAGCCACTCTGGAAAACAGTATGGAGGTTCCTCAAAAAGTTGAAAATAGAACTACCATATGATCCAGCAGTATTTACCCCAAAGATACAAATGTAGGGATCCGAAGGGGTACGTGCACCCCAATGTTTATAGCAGCAATGTCCACAATAGCCAAACTGTGGAAAGAGCCAAGATGTTCACTGACAGATGAGTAGATAAAGAAGATGCGGTATGTATATACAATGGAATATTATGCAGCCATCAAAAGGAATGAGATCTTGCCATTTGCAACGACGTGGATGGAACTGGAGGGTATTATGCTGAGTGAAATAAGTCAAACAGAGAAAGACATGTATCATACGACCTCACTGATACGAGGAATTCTTAATTGCAGGAAACAAACTGAGGGTTGCTGGAGTGGGGGTTGGGGTGGGAGGGATGGGGTGACTGGGTGATAGACACTGGGGAGGGTATGTGCTCTGGTGAGCGCTGTGAATTGTGCAAGACTGTTGAATCTCAGATCTGTACCTCTGAAACAAATAAGGCAATATATGTTAAGAAAAAAATAAAAGAAGATAGCAGGAGGGGAAGAATGAAGGGGAAATCGGAGGGGGAGACGAACCATGAGAGACGATGGACTCTGAAAAACAAACTGAGGGTTCTAGAGGGGAGGGGGCGGGAGGATGGGTTAGCCTGGTGATGGGTATTAAAGAGGGCACGTTCTGCATGGAGCACTGGGTGTTATGCACACACAATGAATCATGGAACACTACATCTAAAACTAATGATGTAATGTATGGTGATTAACATAACAAAAAAATTTTTTAAAAAGTAAGTGCCTATATTGGTTAAAAACAGGTTAATATTTTAATGGGAGGCTTCAGAATAGTAAGTGTATATAGAATAACTGCATTTTTTAAATTGAGATGTCTTAAATTAGTTTTCTTCTGTTCTTTGTGGGATTTTTTATAAGACTCTCTAGAACTTTCTAGTTAATTAGCTATCTGCAGTTACAGTGATTTTTGACTCCTTGTTTCCAGTTTTTTTTACCCCTCCTTTTTTTTTCTTTCACTATTACATCATGAGCTTTGACCCAATCTTGAATACTACAGGCAGTGAAAGTTCACCCCTCCCCTTGGCCTGAGTTGTATTAAGGGGAAATCTGTGGTATCATTTCACAACTTAGAAGAAGTAGACTGTGAAATGGCCTGACTCATCTCTCATTCAGTATCCATCCACCTCAGGACAAGAAGGGGCACCACTGTGGCTGGAGACCTGAGCCCCCCTCAGTCCCAGACCAAAGTTGTTGGACCCTTCCTCAGGCTTCTCACTCCCTCAGGATTCTAAAATGTTTGGTTTTGTCTCCACAGGGCAAGCCAAATCCTCACAGAAAATTGAAGACTTGCTGGAAATGGTGAAGAAGTTGCAGAAAGGTCTCATGTCTCCTCTGTAACAGGCACAGCCTGAGCTTTGGGATAAGGCAGAAGTGGATTCAGTTCCAGGCCTCACAATTCACAACCTTGGGAAATTAACTCATTTGCTCTCTCTTTTTTTAAAACTTAATTCTTTGAAGCAAAAATACAGCGCCATGATTCAAAATTGAATTATGAGGGGATGGAAGGCGAGAAATTTTCCCAAAACCCCCTTGCTAGCCACCTATTTGGCCCCAACTGTATTCAGTTAAATCCAGGTTTTTACCTTCACCTCCCTTCCCTCCACCTTAGCTCTGCTGCTCTCTGCTTGCTTACCAGCCTCCTTCCAGCCACATTCCCACCTCAGGGCAGGCCTTTACACGGACTACCTACCACCCCACCCAGGAACTGCCCTCCCCATGATTTGGGGCCCTTAAGAGGTCTTCCCATATCTGAAGAGCATGCCCCACTCCTTCACTCTTTAATTCCTTGCTACAATTACTACAGCCTGACTCAGTATCTCTATTTTTTTTCCTTGTCTCCCCTACCCAGAATGAGAGTCCCTGTAGGGCCCCCAACTCCCTCTACCTGCCCTGTCATCTCCACTCAACTTCCTTTCCTTCCTGCAGCGGGAAGCCTAGAGCCCAGGGTTGAAGTCCTGATTAATCGGATTAATGAGGTTCAGCAAGGTGAGCTCTGGGACCAGCTACATGATTTGCAGGGCTCCTTGTTAAAAGATTACTGAGTAGTTCATGACAGCAGCAGCAGATCATTAAAACCAAGGATGGGTCCATGTAAATGCAACTGCTATAGTCACGTGTCCATGAACCTGGTGGTGCTATCAACTGAGCCCAACAAGAAAGGCTTGTGTTCTGGAAGCCTGGTTTCTTGCTTTAAAATCTGTCCCCCAACCCAGATTTCCTGGAAGACAAATGAAAAATGTCACTGTTTGCAAGGAATAATGCAGTTGGAGGCTGCACTGACATTGTTCTGCTTTTTGGCACAGCAAAAAAGAAAGCCAGTGAGGAGCTGGGAGAGGCCCGGACTGTTTGGGAGGCCCTGCAGAGGGAAATGGACTCATGTAAGCAAGCTGGGGGTCACCCAGAGGTCTTCAGTGTCATACCTTCCTGAACTCAATATTCTGGACACTTAGCATTCTTGCTGTGGCCAAGGGCTCCTACCCCCTCTCCAACATCAGGTCCTGCCAATCTCCCACTCTGTGGGTAGGAGTGTTCCCAAAGAAGTATGCTCTCCAAGCATACTTCTACCTCAGGGTTTTTGATAGGCTGTTCTTCCCCCAGATAGTACAGGTTCCTATTGCCACACATCCTCATCAGCTCTTACCTTGAATGTCCCCTTCTCAGATAAACCTCCCCCAAGTCATCCCATCTAAAGACAGCACCCTGTCCCCACCTGATCACATTCCCCTTACTGCTTGTGTTTCTTCATGTCATGTGTTTTTTCTCTCTCCTCCATGTAAACACACTGGCCGCCTGCAGGATCTTCACAGTCACCCTGTATCAACCCCAGGGCCCTTTGCTGCTTACAGGGAGTGTGGGCTCAAGAGGGGAGGAGGCTCAATTCAAGGGGTCCACATCTGGGATTGGGGTAGAGCTATCCCAAACTGCCTGTGCATGAGGGGCAAATGCACTCCCTGAGGGTGCAGTGATGCACAGAGGCCTGATTGTGTTCCTGTGTTTTCCAGTGAGTGGAGAGAAAGTACGCCTGAAAGAGATCTTGAACAAAAAGCAAGGTAACTGCAGCTACTCTGTCTCCAGACTTTTGCCCTTGTCACCCTGCGGAGGCCAATCTTTCCATAGCAGCTGAAGCCCTTTGGAACCTGACTTAGCTTGCATCCCTCCTGTGGCTTCCACCACACTTACAGTAAATGACAAAGTCCTATCAGGTGTCCACAAGACTACATGTGATCTGACCCTATTATCAATGCCCAATCTTGATGCTTTGATGGGTTCTCACGGGGCCCTTGGCTCCTCTCCCTGCAGAAACCCTAAGGATCCTCAGGCTCCACTGCCAGGAGAAGGAAAGTGAGGCACAGAGGTAAGAGCTTCCATCTGGGACTTGCTCTGCCCTTCCCCTTCATTGTGGTCAAAGGAGAAAGAGGGAAAATCAGTCCTGGACCCACAGGTCACAGTGTCTCCCTCTGAAAAAAGGAGAGGCCAGATGCATGTCTTCCCACCTTGGCCCCAACAGTATGCAGTACTGTTAATGGTACTCTGACTCACTGGGATAATCATTCATTTGCTAGAATATCAAATGCTTTCAGCTGTTATTTATTTTATGCCTGTCACTCTTCCTAAAATCAGCTCCTTGGTCTCTGTTCACTCTCCTGTTCCTTCATTTAGGCATCAAGGCACCCAGTATCTCTCCATGCATCTACTATCTTTCCATCCACCTCAATATTTGTGAATCCATCTCCACTTCCTGAACCTTGATTTAACTCATTTTGTGACCAGAGTCCCCAAGCCCACCAACATTAGAACTACGTGGGAAATTTGGATGAGATTGATATGTTAGTGTGTGCTTGTGCACCTGTGTCTGTCCATGTTGATCTTCCTGATTTCACAACAGTATTTCCAGGGTACACATGCTCATGCCCCCCCATGAAGTTATTAGAGAAGGACCTTGATCTGCAAAGCCAGAACAGACCCCAAGAGAAGGCAGAAGCCCCACCCCAGCCCTGTCCTGGGGAGACATTCAGAGAATATGACTGACAGCTGCCTTTGCCTCTTCCCAGGAAGCAGACCATGCTGCAGGAGTGCAAGGAGCGAATTTCTGCCCTGAACTCCCAGATTGAGGAAGAGAAGAACAAACAGAGGCAACTGAGGTAAAGCCCAGTGTCCAATACCAGGCAGGGTGGGGGCGATGTGCTGGGATGGGTTGTGGGTGCGGGTAATACTGGAGATGGGGGTTAGAAGAGGAGCTGGCTGGGCTGATCTTGAAGGGTCAAGGTGGTGAAAGTACTTCCTGCAGAGCAAAGAACACGGGCAAGCCTCCCAAGGTCTGTGCATGAAGACCCCTGGCCTGGACCAAGGTGAGGAGGAATGTCTCAGCCCATGGCCCCTCATCTTGAATGGTTGGTCCACAGGTTGGATTTTGAGGAACAGCTGGAGGATCTGATGGGCCAGCACAAGGACCTCTGGAAGTTCCATGTGAGTCACTCAAAGCCATTCCTCCCACCTTCCACATCTTCCCTGGAAGTCCCAGGCCCAAAGCTCAGGGTCACACTGCAAGCCTCCTCCCTCTCACCTGCCACACCCAGCTCCTGAGCCAGCCCTGGTGGTCATACATCAAGATGGCCCTCAGCTCAGTCCCTACACACCACCCTCACTGCCACCCAGTGTCGTCCTCTTCTGCTGGTCCTGCCCATCCATCCCTGCTGCTCCCCCCTGGCCCTTCAGTGGCCAGGAGGAACCCCGATGAACCAAGGAGAGGTTATCCATAAGGAAGATCCGTGGATGTGTTTGCAGCCATGACAGCACAGGGCAGATAGTGGGAAACCAAGGATCCCAGGTGCCAAATAAAAGGGGCAGAGAGAATCAATGTTAGGATGGAGGAGCTCAGTGAGAACACCACACAAAGGGAAGAGGAGCTGCAGTTCAGGTCTGGTGACTGATTCTCCAGGGAACAGTTCTGATTTGTAATGTTTTCAGGATCCCCTATAATAAATACTTGCCTCAGACCTGATTTCAAAGCTTCCAAAATTCATGAACCACCTCATGAGCCTCTCAAGTGCAGCATCACAGGTATCTGGGGTGAGACAGTTCCCTGTGGAGAGAAAATGGCCAGTACAAAGGCCCTGAAGCTGGCACATGCCTTGTGCGCCCAGAGACCCAGAGTAGTAGGAAGTGAGGCATGCTGAGTAGAGACCAGATCCAGGTAGGCTTCTCTGAGGTGCAAGGGAGAGCCTGGGACACATGGACAGGCCTCCTCTCTACCTACTCAGAGGCCAGAGCAGATGGCCCGGGAGATTGGCACCCTGGACAGCAGCAAGGAGCAACTGCTCAAGGAAGGTGAGGCCTGGAGAATGGGGAGGCCCTGCCCTGTCCTGTCCTGCCCTGCCCTGCTCATCTGTCCCTTCCTGCTGCAGAGAAGCTTGTGGAGGCGAAGCTGGAGGATGTGAAGCATCGCCTTTGTTCCCAATTTGGGGCTGATGGCTGCTCGACCATTGCTGAGGGGCTCTTTCTGCGCAGCCAGGAGGCTGCAGCTGCAGTGTAAGATAAGGATGGCGGGGACAGGGAATGGGGTGGAGGGAGGGAGCCACCACTGCTGATGGCCCTACCCTCAGGCATCTGTTTGAAGAGGAGAACAGGAAGGCCCAGGAGCTCCTGGAGGCTGCTGCACATCACCATGAGCAGCTACAGCAGAAGTGCCAGCAGCTGCAGCAGAAGAGGCAGAGGTGGGCATGGAGGCCCTGCCCCCAGTACCCAAGGGGAAGGTGGCTGAGGGCATCTCCAGTCCCCTTTTGGCTTATCTCCTGGTCTCTTCACACCCTCTTGTCCCTTCCCCTCCCCTCCCCTGCCACACACTCCTACCCCACCCTTTTCTGTCCAGGCTTAAGGAGGAGCTGGAAAAGCTTGGGATGCAGATCCCTGCTCAAACCCCAAGCAAACAAGAAGAAGGGGCTGGCCCAGGAGAACCTGTGAGTCCTGGAATGAGGTGGCAGGGAGCAGAGAATAGCTCATGGAAGGAGCAGGGTACAGGAAGGTGAGGAAGGGGAACCACAGTCCTCAGAGGATGGTCTGTTCTCACAGGGCACCACCAAGACAAAAGTGCAGAGGCTGGCAATGGTGGGGTGGCAAGGGGCAAGTTCCAGTGAGCTGTGGGCATAGGGATGCTTGGAGACTTCCCTCCTCAGACCCTGACCTCCCACAGGCCAGTCCCAAGCTCCTAGGAGTCATCGAGGAGAAAGACCCAGAGCTGCCCACCAAGCAAGGCCCTTTGCCCTCCTAGCCAAGGAGGATTCCCCCTGCCCTGCAGCATATTCCAAGAACTTCAAGAAATAAAAGCACTATTTCAGTACAACTGCCTCAGCTGAGTTTGTGCAGGGGTGGAAGGGTTTATCTGGCCCAAGACCCCTGATCCCCGAGACTTGGTAAAGCCTTGGCCACATTTCCTCTTGGCCTCAGCCAGAGTCCTGCAGCAGGACTCTGAGACTCACTCAGTAAGTGCTTCCCTAACCTCATAGTCTCCGCTCTGCTCATTTCTAGGACTTATCACACAGTTCTGGGTCTCCAGGCAGAAGGATGCACATGCTGCAAACCCACGCTGTGATTGTTTCAATTCCTTATTCAGGCCTGGACTATACAGAATCCCAGAAATCCCCAAAATGAGGAACAAGGTGCTGGGGTTCTCAGCCAGTCAATCCCTTGCCCACAGTCCCCACCAATTAGCTGAGAAAAAGAAACATAATTGGAGGCCAAGTGTAGTTTGCGCTCTTGTGGGCACAAAATATAAAACCGAGACACGTGTCACTACAACACAGTATGTTAGAATTCCTCAGTATCCTGGGAGTCAGTTCACCTAAAACTATTGTGTGCTTTTGAAGTATGTTTCAAAGCACATAAATGCATTCACCCAGTTAAGGGCAGCAAGGGTAGTCAGAGTCTGTGATCCTAAGCCAAAATACAGTAACTGAAGAAGAAAGAGATTCCTTCTCTTGAAAGGCTCCCACATCCGGGTAGGAGACAGTAACATGGTGGGATGGAGAGAGGTCCAAACAGGCCCCCAGTCTGGAGAGCACTGTTTCTGTGGAAGAACGGAAAAATAATGACCTGCAAAATTAGACACACTAGGCATCAACCTCCCAGTTTTCTGAGATGGGGTTAATCAGACCTGTGACATAAATGAACTGGTAACATCTTATCAAAATAACTCCTGTATCTCCTGGAAAGTGGTATATTCCCCTGCATGACAATGGAAGCAGTTCAGCTAAGCCCATGATTAGAAATAATTTTGTAGCTTCAGCTGGTTCACAATAAAGAAACGGGATTTATGATTACTTCAACAGATGAATAAAGCCTTCGGCAAAATCCAACACCTATTTGCGTAAAAAAAATAAATCTAGGAATAGAAAGTAACTTCTTTTATGCTTAGTGGTAAAGTGTTTGAAGCATTTCAGGTACATTCAAATATGAGTCACCATGTTAAAGTTCTGCACAGCGAAACAGGACCAGAGAAACAGGACTGGAACCTTACCCCACCCCTGCTCACAACCACATGGATATCTGCCAAAGAAGAAGAAAGAAAATCCTTGCTGCTCAGCCTTGCAATCTCCCTCCAGGCTCTTTCCTTGGAAACCCAAAGATGTGTCAGCTGGAAAAGGAGAAATATAACCCCATCATCACAAAGTCAGGCAACCAAGGGTGGGTTCCTAGCTGAGACAAAAAACAAAAAACTTATAGCTGGTAGACTCACTTACCATAAGGTATAGGTAGAGACAGATGAGATAAAAGAAACTGTTCAGTCTTAAAGATCAATCTAGACAAAATACCAAGGAGCAAGGACTACCTAGGTTTGAAAATAAAACTATTCCTCCTTCCCAGCTTCTCCGGGCAGGAAAAAAAGATCCCTAAAGTATGAAATGACTTTTGGCTAAAGATCACATTCAGGACACTATCAGCAAAATGGAGCCTCAGTAAATCTCAGACCAAGGATGTTGCTAACCCTGAGACTCTTGAGTGTGCCCTATAAATCCTCACAATAGATAAATAGGGCTTCTACAAATCTTAGGGGCATTGGACACATTAAAGATATTTATAAGGTTTTACTTTATTCTCAGTGTTCAATGAGCTGTCTCTGGCCAATAAAGGCATTCCTGCATTTATTGAATTTCTTTCTTCCTATGATTTCTTTGATTTTTTTCCATCCATTGACTTGGGGGTGAACTCAGGTTCTTTCCTATGTGAATCTCCTACACAAGGACTGGTAACTTCTCAGAGAAGCCTATCTCAAATTCATAAAGCAAACTGGCTATAATGGACTCACAGTGTTGTAAATAGGTCACACACAGAAGGGTTCAACAGTGAATATTTCTCACTCAGATTAAGTACAAGTGAAGATTTTTGTGGTAGAGTTTAGAAGATCTCTGCCCTCCCCAATCAATCCTTTCTGTCTTAAGTCACGGTTACCATCTAAGGCTCCAAAGACAAACCTGTGGGTAATCTGCACTTCAGGAGCACAAGGAATGAAAAATCAGCAAACGCAAGTAAGTTTTTTTGTGGCCAGACACGGAAATAATGGTCATAATTTGTGTTCATGATCTCTTGGCCATAGCTCAATTACACGCTTCCACCCACAGTAAAGGGAGGCTGAGACATGCAGGCTAACTGTGTGCCCAACACAAAGAGAAAGTGAGTTTTGGTATACATATAGCCAGTCTCTGCCCCACATGACTTCTCTCCAGTGTGAGTTCTCTGATGTTTGCTGAGGTGTGATTTCTGACAGAAGGTTTTCCCACATTCATTACACTCATAGGGTTTCTCTCCTGTGTGAGTTCTCTGGTGTACAGTCAGGGCTGACTTCTGGTAGAAAGTTTTCCTACATTCTTTACATCCATAGGGTTTCTCTCCTGTGTGAGTTCTCTGATGTCTATTGAGAGTTGACTTCTCACAAAAGGTTTTCCAACATTCATTACATTTATAAGGTTTCTCACCTGTGTGAGTTCTCTGGTGTACAGTGAGTTTTGATTTCTGGTAGAAAGTCTTCCCACATTCCTTACATTCATAGGGTTTCTCACCTGTGTGAAGTCTCAAATGCACAGTGAGCTTTGGCTTTACACAGAAAGATTTCCCACATTCATTACATTTATAAGGTTTGTCTCTTGTGTGAGTTCTCTGATGTACGGTAAGAGCTGGGCGATGGCCAAAGGATTTCCCACATTCTTTACATTCATAAGGTCTCTCTCCTGTGTGAGTTCTCTGATGTGCAATGAGAATTGACTTCTTATGGAAGGTTTTACCACAATCATTGCATTCATGATGTGTCTCTCTATTGTGAATCCTTTGATGTACAGTGAGGGCTGACTTCTGGTAAAAGGATTTCCTACACTCATTACATTCATAGGGTTTCTCTCCTGTGTGTGTTCTCAGATGTACAGTGAGTTTGGTTTTCACAGAGAAGGATTTCCCACATTCATAACATTCATACGGTTTTTCTCCTGTGTGGGTTCTCTGATGAACAGTTAGGTGTGACTTATGGCAGAAAGATTTCTCACATTCGATACATGCATAGGGTTTCTCCCCTGTATGAGTTCTCCGATGTATTGTAAGAACTGTTTTACTGATGAAGGTTTTCTCACACTCACTGCATTTATAGGGTTTCTCTCCTGTGTGTATTTTCTGATGTTTATTGAGATTAGACTTTTTGTAGAAAGTTTTGCCACATACATCACATTCAAAAGTTTTCTCTCCTAACTGAGGTCTTGAAAGTGGAGTGAGGTGTAATTTCTTGCTGAAATTATCCCCACTTTGATTAAGTTTACGGTATTGCTCCTTGAAATCAGCTCTATGAAGATACGACTGTGTTGGTTTTGCACAAAAGGTGTTCTCCCATTCCTTACATCTACAGTGATCCTCCCCTATGTGAGTTCTCTCTTGGGCAATGAGAGCTGACTTGTCACAGGCTCTCTGATATTCGTCATATGTATAGGTAGGCTCTCCCATGTGAGCACAGCTATGTGTAAAGAAGGTTGCCTCCTTGTTGAAGCCCTTCCCTTGCCCACCAAATTCAAAAGGTGGCTGCAAAATTTGATCCTTCTGATGAAAACTACAATGCTCGCCATACCTGAGGGGTTTCCCAGTTGTATTATGGTCCTCAGGCTTCTCTCCAGCATACATCTCATCAGGCTCACCAGGGAGAAACATGTTCTGACACACATTAAACTCCTCTGGCTTCATTCCTGAACAGTTTCCATTATTTATAATCAGGTTTGAAAGGTGGATTGCACTCAAATTAAATGGTTTTCCCAAGCTGGTTCTCTCCTTAGTTGATGTTTTGTTGTTGGCAAATCCAACTTGCCACACATGTCTGCTCTGATGCTCCTGGAGGGTCTCAATCAGGTCATCTGCAGTCTGGACATCTAAAATGAGACAAAGTAACCATATCTGTGAACCACATCTAAGCATTTCTTATGGAATGTTTGTATAAGAATGAAGCAGTTTCTTTCCATCACAGTAGGATACAAATTGTGAAGAATCAATAATGGGTATGATTATGATAAACATACGATTTTTCTTTCTAATGAATTGATGTAACAAATTACACTAGTAGGTTCTCTAACATCAAATCATGGTTTTAGTTGTCAGTTTTGCTTTTTTAAGTTTCTTTTTTCCTTTTTGGATCCATGAGGAAATATTCGGTCACAATATTCACCTCTTCCCTAGCCACGGATTTTGGCTGAATTCTTTCATCTGCCATTTGTGTTCTTGTTCTGTTTCCTGTTTTCTCTCCTAATAACTGTGAGTTCCTTGTACTTGGCCTTTTCTCATCACTCAGCTTTGAAGATGACAAGATCCTCCTGGATCGGCTACTTTAGGATGCAGTAGAGGACCATTTGTCTGTCACCTAAGTGGGGATATTGCTTAGGACAAGGATTTGCACCCACGTTTATTTTTTTACTCCTCTCTGGGGATTGGCTATGAGCACCTGTGGAGTTTCTCAAAGGCATCCTCTCTCCCTCTCCATGCTAGCCAAAGACAGCTTTCTGCTAATTCCTAATGAAATCCTACATCCCTGGCTTCTCACAACCATAACAGGTACAGGAAACTCTGGTTCATCGCTTTGTGCAACTCCTCCCTGCTAGTCTAAAAGATTTAGGTTGGGTGCCTGGGTGGCTCAGTTGGTTAGGCATCTGCCTTCAGCTCAGGTCATGATCCCGGGGTCCTGGGATCGAGCCCTACATCAGGCCCCCTACTCGGCGGCGAGTCTGCTTTTCCCTCACCCTCTGTGATTGCTTTCGCTCTCACTCTCTCTCAAATAAAAAAAAATTTAAAAACTTTAAAAATTAAAAAAAGATTTAGGTTCCACAACCCAGACTATGCCCACCATCATTGAAAAACTTTTCTCGTTCCTACTTAGATTAAAAAAAAAAACAAACCCTGGCATTCTCACCCCACTTCATGATACAACGATCCCTACTTGGTAATTCACTGCTTCTGAAGACTTCTATCTTGCACTTCAGAGTTTCAGTTGTCTTTGAGTTCCACTGAAACTGGAGTCCCACACATTTCTCATTCTTTTTTCTTTTCTAACAATGATTTCCACAAGAGAAGGTAAACATACTAACTTCAGATTCCAATCCCAAAGTTTGAGTCCCCCAACTTGAAACTCTTCTTCGTCCTATTAGCCCTGGACCCACAATCTCTAGTTTCTCATACCATGTCACAAACCACCTCTTTCCATGCTGAACAATTTGCTGGGTCCTCCTCAGTTTCATGATCTCTGATGTCGTAGTTCACGAGATTTCCACCAGGACTTCTTCTCGCATGTTCTTAGTAATTCCAGAGGCCACCTCCTCTAATCCTGGCAGTTTAGGGTTAATAATTTCCCAATTTACATCTCCAGTATGGTGATGGACATCTATCCCCTACTCTAGATTTTGTATGCACTCATCTATGACATGTGGAAATGGAAAGTAGTCATCTCAATTTAAGCTCTACCAATGTAAATACTTAATCGCCCTAAAACTGCCTTCTCAGAACCCTTCAAATTATAATACACCACAATTTTCTCTCTCTTGTCCTCATTAAATATACTTCAGGGTTCTTACTTCACTACTTAACATATATGTTTGTTTCATTTTCCCTCTCAAGAAACTTCAAGTTCCGTAAAAAGGACATTTTTTTTATTACTGTTGTTATCTGCACAAGAAAATGACCACTGCCTAGAATTTTCCAATTAACATACTGAAAGAATAAACAAATGTATGAATGCCTTAAAGCAAACAGTCCTTGAAAATGGACAAAAGGAAAACATTAAGAATCTAGAGAAAGTAATTAACCAAAAAAAATGCCAAGAGATACAGCTAGGTATTGGATTTTGGGTAAGTCTAAGAAAATAGAGGGTGATTAAAAAAAGAAGGGGATATTTGTGTGTGAGAGCCATATTTTGAGAGTGAAGAATGCATGAGTCTGACACATGCAGACTCACTGTCCTAAGGTCTGGACCTGGGAAAAGCACTGGAGAAAACAGCCCAGCACGGCCAACATCTGCTGTGCTCTCCTCTTCCCAGACCCCTGCCCAGTATGCACGGACTGACCTGGGAGGCTCTGGGTTGGGGCTTCCTCTACAGTCCATGGCTCTGCTCCTTGCTCCAACTTGACAATCACCTCAGGTTTGGTAATGCAGTGCCCTGTTGATCAGAAATAAAGTGGGACTTTTAACAAACAGCTTAAGTTTCAGGACCTTTGAAGAACGACAAGAGCACAGCTGCAAGAACTGTACAATGAAGGGCCAATGTGAACCTCTGATTAGAAGGGTGAACACTAACACTCTTCCAGGCCTCGAATCTTAAACCTAAGTAGCATTTAACTTCATAAACAGTTGCACATTTGCCAATGAAGAAAAAACTGCTTACACTTACTAGGACACTTTCACTCACCCAATGACACCAGGCTACTGTACGTCTCCAGCATCACAACCCTGTACAGGGTCCGCTGAGCATCATCCAGGTCCTGCCACTCCTCCCAGGAGAAGTTTACAACCACGTCCTCAAATGACACCAACTCCTGTAATGACATGTGCCTCAATTCAAGGCATCAGCCTGGATCAGAACAGAGAGTCTAAGAGTTCATTCTTTTTTGTGTGTTTTGTCTTGTAAAATACACCATGGTTTGTACTCTGTACTGTGGGGTAAAGAGATACCACAGTAGAAATTTCCTACCTCTGCGATAATTCATTTGTTCCTAAAAATACTATTATAAAGTTTCTCTTATACCTTGAACTGTCCTTGTTGCTAGAGATGGAAAGACAAATAAAATTCTGCTCCTCAGCATGTATGATCTGGTAATGGAGGCATATATATGAAGACATACTTGAGGGCGCCTGGGTGGCTCAGTTGGTTAGGCGACTGCCTTTGGCTCAGGTCATGATCCTGGAGTCCCGGGATCGAGTCCCGCATCGGGCTCCCTGCTCGGTGGGGAGTCTGCTTCTCCCTCTGACCCTCCCCCCTCTCATGTGCTCTCTCTCTCTCATTCTTTCTCTCAAATAAATAAATAAAATTTAAAATAAATAAAAAATAAAGATATACTTGAAATACTGCACTAGATAAACCAGGTTAAACACACGTTTAACGTAGACTAGAGTAATAAAAGAGAAAACAGCTGTCCTTTGTACTATCCAGTTACACTTCACTGAAGAGCCAAACATGTCAGCTATTCCATGTGAACCCCATGTTCTCACAAATATGAGGCTATAGCAGAAGTCACGAGAGCAAGACGAACACATTCTACATTAACAGAAGCACAAACAGTGCCATGTCGAAGTGACTGCTCCTGGGCTGTGGTGAGAGATAAAGGCAGTAAAGGTATTTAAGGAACTGATTATAGTGGTTCTGCAGTTAAATATTTGACCGAACTCCAAAAGAACAAATGTGAGGTACTCAGATTGTCTTCTGTTTTTACAAATTAAAAGCATGTAAAAGGCATCCTAGTATTTCCTCCATATATCCCAAAGGGTTGCTTATATCTACCCCAGGGTAAGCACCTCCCACTTCCTACGCCACAGGGTGTAAATAGTGAGGGGCCCATAAAAAGAGGTAAGTTACGTAACCAGATTTGCATTTTAATAGTCATCCCCTATAAGGAAAATGGGGAGAGCTTAAGAGAGAGTCAGAGGGGACAAACTTGAGGTGAAAGGATATAGAGCAATTAGATTACAGAATAGGGAACTAATCCCAAAAAAAAAAAAAGAAAAGAAAAAGCAGGAACAGAATTTGGCACTAATTTGCTCTGAGAAGGATGAAGGAGGAGTTTTCCTACCAGGCTGTCTGTACAACCGGCTAGATACAGGTACTGTAAGGTGAAATTGGAAAAGAGGACACAAGAGTGCACTGGGCACAAAAGACACAGATCTTGGACACAGCATGTTTGAAGTTTCTGTGGTCAGGTATGTAGGGATGTCAAAATGGCAACCGGTTATATGATCTAGAGCTCAAGAAAAATCTAAGTTGAAGATAAAGATTTGGGAAGCTGCAGAATTTTAGCAGTAGCTGACTGAAGCCACCAAGTGAATGAAAGAGCTCAAAGAGAAACCTAAGAGATTGAAAGGAGAAAAGGAACAGATACCATGCTTTAGGAAATACCAATATTTACTGACACAGAAAGAGACCATGACACAGAGAAAGAATTTCTAAAGATTAGTCTAGGAATAGAAATAACCCCCATATTAAGAAATTTATTAAAACATGTCATCATAGTCATATTTCTGAAAAGCCCTATGATCATTTAAATAAACACTGAGCAGGTATCTACAAAATAACCTCCCATTTGTAATAACCATCAACAAAAGAGGATTTAGAGGATGCATCCTTAAAATGATACAATGTAAATGTCTTACCCCAAAGCCAGCATCACACTTAATGAGGAACCACTGGCATATAAGGATGCGCTACAACCACAGTTATTCAAAAATCTACAAGTGATAACAGTCAATGCAATTAAATAGAGATAAAATATAGTGAAAATGGTCATGATTTACATATATTTTTTACCTAGAAAACCCAAGAATCCTATGATATATTCTATACAAAAAAGAATTTTCTGTAAGAAAATTTTATAAATTACCAGACTATAAAAAATATACATCAAGTTCATATACAAAAACCACTCAAACTATAACAACAACAACAACAAAAAGCAGAATACATATCAACACATTAACAGAAAACATACTAAACCATGTCAGGGGAAAAAATATGAAGGATACAAAAAGAACTAACAAAGGAAAAGACATACCATATTCATGAATAGGAAGGATCTACATCAAAAACATCAATTCTCCCAAAATCAGTAAATTAATATAATTTATCCTAATAACACATTCTTAGATACACAAAAGATAATTTAAAAGTTCATATAAAAAATTTGGCAAGAATTTGACAAGAGGTGGGGCAACTCCACTCAGACAAAGAAATCTGAGAAGCAGCACAGCAGGCCCCTCCCCCAGAAGACAGACTGGAAGAACACGTGGACTACAACTTTATGGATCCCACAAGACTGTAAAACTCCAGCGGCAGGGGAAAATAGTATATTGCACTACAGGTGTTTTCTCATGATTCATTTATCTTTCAGTCTAACATTTTCCATTTCTTTTTTTTTTAACTTTTTTCCATTTCAAATACCTTCTTGTTTTACCAACTTATGTTCTTAAGTCACTTTTTAACTTGTATTTTTTACATCTACATTTTACAGACATATGCTTCATTTTAGTCCTTTTTTCACTCAATTTCAATTTTATTTAATTATATGATTTCAATTTTATTTCATTATATAAATATATATGTACATGTATACACACACACACACAAACATATATATATAGGTTTTGCTTTCTTTGCAATTTTGAGATGTAGTGTCTTCTAACACACAGACCAAAATTCAATCAGGAACAAGTAGATCACCCTGCTTTGTCCACCCTGCAAGTTTATAGTCTCTCCCCACCCCTTTATTGTTTTGTTTCATTTTGGTTTTGTTTGCTTTTCTGTGGTGGCTTCTGACCACTTTGGATTTTTCTAGGGTATATTTAGCTTGGATCATGGTTGTTATTTTGGACTCTGTTCATTTGCTCACCCAGCCTTCTCTGGACAAAATGACTAGAAGTTGGAATTCACAACAAAAGAAAGAACCAGAGGCAATGTTCTCTGCCACAGAGCTAATCGATATGGATATAAGATGTCAGAGATGGAATTCAGGATAGCAATTATAAAGTCATTAGCTAGGCTTGAAAAAAGCACAAATGATAGTACAGAATCTCTAAGTGCAGAAATGAGATCTAATCGGGCCACACTTAAAAATGCTATGAGTAATATGCAGTCTAAATTGGTTGCTCAAACAGCTAGGGTAAATGAGGCAGAAGAGAGACTAAGTCATCTAGAAGACAGGCTGATGGAAAGGAAGGGAGTTGAGGAAAAGAGAGAAAGACAACTCAGAGCCCATGAAGAAAGGCTTTGAGCAATTAATAATGCCCTGAAACGAACCAATGTCAGAATTACTGCGGTGCCTGACAGGGAGGGAAGAGAAAGAGGAACAGAAGGTATATTTAAGCAAATCATAGCTGGGAACTACCCTAATCTGGGGAAGGAAACAAGTATTCATATCCAAGAGGCAGAGAGAACCTCTTCCAAAATCAATAAAAATAGATCAACACCCCAACATGTAATAGTGAAGCTTGCATATCCTAGAAAAAAAGAAGCTATCCTGTGAGGAGCTAGGGAGAAGAGGTTCCTTACATATGGGGGGAGGAACATCAGAATGACATCAGACCTATCCACAGAAACGTGGCAAGCCAGAAAGTGCTGGCATGAGATATTCAGGGTACTAAATGAGAAGAACATGCAGCCAAGAATTCATTATCTAGCAAGGCTGTCATTCAGAATGTAAGGAGAGATAAAGAGCTTCCAGGACAAACAGAAACTAAAAGATTATGTGACCACCAAGCCAGCCCTGCAAGAAATATTAAGGGGGATCCTGTAAGTGAAGAGAGACCCCAAGAGTACCATAGACCAGAAAGTAACAGAGACACTCTACAGAAACAGGGACTTCACAGGCAATACAATGGCACTAAATTCATATTTTTCAATAGTTACTCTAAATATAAATGGGCTAAATGTTCCAATCAAAAGACAAGGGTATCAGATAGAATAAAAAAGCAAAAACCATCCATATACTCTCTAAAACAGTCTCCTTTTAGACCTAAAGACACCTCCAGACTGAGGTGTGGAGGTGAGGGCATGGAGAACCATTTACCAAACTAACAGACCTTAAAAGAAAGCTGGGGTAGCAATCCTCCTATCAGACAAATTAGATTTTATTTTATTTTTTTAATATTTTATTTATTTATTTGACAGAGAGAGACACAGTGAGAGAGGGAACACAAGCAGGGGGTGTGGGAGAGGGAGAAGCAGGCTTCCCACTGAGCAGGGAGCCCGATGCGGGGCTCGATCCCAGGACCCTGGGATCATGACCTGAGCTGAAGGCAGATGCTTAACGACTGAGCCACCCAGGCGCCCCGACAAATTAGATTTTAAACCGAAGATGTAGTAGTAAGTGATGAAGAGGGACACTATATCATACTTAAAGGGCCTATCCAACAAGAAGATCAAACAACTGGAAATATCTAAGTCCCAAGAAGGGAGCAGCCAATTATATAAACCAATTAATAACCAAAATAAACAAACATATTGATAATACATTAATAGTAGGAGACATCAACATCCCACTCACAGCAATGGACAAATCATCTAAGCAAAAGATCAATAAAGAAACAAGAGCTTTGAATGACACACTGGACCAGATGGACTTCACAGATATATACAGAACATTCCATCCTAAAACAAGAGAATATTCATTCTTCTCAAGTGCACATAGAACTTTCTCCAGAATACATCACATACTAGGTCACAAACAGGTCTCAACCGATACCAAAAGACTGAGTATTCCCTGCATGTTTTCAGACCACAGTGCTTTGAAACTGAAACTCAATCACAAGAAGAAAGTTGTAAGGAAATCAA